GGTTTTTTGTTTCTCTGTCAAACTGGGAGAAAATTGGCCAATGGGTAAAAACAAGAAGTTGTTTGGGGGGTATGGGGAGACAGGCACACTGCAGGCAGTCAGTTTGCAGGCACATGAGAAGACAAGCAAATGTTAATCTGGGCTGCGTGTGTTCCTGTTGCTCTCTGAAGTGCACAGGGAATCGGGATATTCTGCTCATTTAAGTGGAGCTGTGCCCCGATGCAGTTCTCAGTGTGGGGCTGCGGGTGTATGTGTAGTGGGACTCCGATCTGGAGATGAATACATAAGCTTTAGTATCTTAGGAAGACGGCTGAGAATCTAAAATCAAAACCATACCTGCTCCTTCTCCAGACACAGTCAGGGAGAGTCACGGGCGCCGAGGAGAAACCCCCTGACAGGAGAGTTGGTGGCACACGTACACTCCAGGAGATTGACTTGTCCCTCCCAGCCATCCAGTGCCAGAATTTGCAGCTCTCTTTCTCATGAGACACCGATACATATTTTATAGCCTATCTCAGTAGCTGAGACTGCAAACAAATAAAGCTTCCTTTTTATGCCTGACAGAGCCCTGAGATGGAAACCATTCGAGAGGAGGACTCCTCTGAAAGCTATTAGGTGGCATTCTCTCTGCCTCTCCACACCTCTGCTTCATATCCCTGGGATGAGCAAGTCTTACCACAATATAAAGTCTGCTGGCTCAGGCCTGTTTGTTGGATTCACAGGGAAGCTCAGGCTCAGACCTACAGGAACAAGATGGATTTTGTTAGCTGTCAGTGCATTGAGTTATGACCGGTATTGGTAGAGAGAAGCTTCTCTGCCTGGCTGTGCCCCCTGAGCCCTGCTCTGCCAAGGCGGTGGGACATCACTTGCAGCAATGGTTACAACACGTTGCAGGCTGTCAGGGGAGGGCAGTGGAATCAAGCAGGTGATTTTCTTTCCCACCTGTTTATAATAGAATATGATTATGGAATAACTTGCGGTCTCCCAAAAAATTAATCACATTATAAACCTTGCTTTTCCAAAGGGAATATGTAGAATTTGGTGCTACAGTCTGTTCAGGGAAAGCCCACGTTTATTCATATATATGAGTATGACACTTGTGTTGCACCAGATTGAGTCTTTCTTCATGTTAACCAAGACTAGCAAAAGGATTTTTCCTCATGGTTGGTAGGAACTGCTAGTTGTAAAAACCAAAAAGCTGAACTGGAGTAGACAAAGATCCATTCAAGACTGGACTACCCCTTGACTTTTATTGCTTTTCACTGTGCAGCCTTTCTTGGGGTATTATTGCCAGCACCTTGGTTTGCAGGATGGAAAGCGGGATAGAGGGGACAATAAAATGCTGTAAGATCAATGTATAAGGACATGTGGGACAAAACGCAAGGACTGAGTTTTTACAGGCTTTGTATATATAGCCAGAGTTCATTCCACATTCTAATAGTTTCTGTGCTACCAGTGGTGTAATGAGGTGCAACAATTTGTTTTTTGAAAGCAATCTGCAAATACCAATTTGAGGCTGACAGCAGTAACAGCTGTTCAAGATGATGACACTCCAGTGATGGCTTTAATGGAGCAACCCAGAGGAGAACCAGCTAGGCAGGATCAGTTGGCCATAAAAGGCCCAACCAAAGTTAAAGCAGGCATTTGGTGTGTGACTCATGGAAAGGATCTTTTGCATCACTGAGTCTTTTGTCATTTTGAGACAACTACAGTCTTTCTTCCCCTCCACTCCTTTAATAATGTGTTTTGAAGTGCATCCTATTCTGGCCAGAGGAATGGGAGAAAACATGGTATCCAGTTTGCTTGTAGTGTCAAGCAACTGTAAGGACACGTGGGCTAGTTAATTTGCAGTTAGAAGTCTTTGACTGCAAAGATAAGTAATTAGTAAAGGTGAAGGGCTCAAGTTAGGATTAAAAGCTGAGCCAGAACTGTTCTATTCCACCTGTGGGTCACATCTCTTCAAATGTTCAGGCTTGGGTTGCTAAATTAGGCAGCCAACTTTTTTTTTTTTTTTCTTGTAAATACTTGTTTTCAAATTAGGCAGTTTGGTGGAAGGAGTTTAGCAGGTTTGAGTATCGAGCCATACACTAGGTGATTATAGAAGCTGAAATGGCTACTTGTAGATGCCCGCTTTTGAAAAAATGAACAATTACCTATGCAAGCTTTCAGTTTCTTCATCTCTAGAAAAGAGATAATATTTCCCAGTATGGCCCTTGGGACTTTGTTAGTTTGAATGGATTAACACGAGACAAAAAGCTTCTGATTCTTTGGATGGGAAAGTGCTATGGAAATACACTATATTATTGTGATATCCTTTGAGATGTTTCTGTGAAGCCGGTGGTGACTGTCATGATAATAAAGAAAGCCTTAGAGAAGCTAACGAAATAATGATCCTACTTCCTTTCTAGCTATTCTTTGAAAGGGCAAATGCAATGAGTGATAATGGTTTAATGAGAGAGAGTCATTAGGGCATCCAGCCTGCATCTTTAGAAGTGCAAAGCATTTTGGGAGATCTGAAAATGATTCGGAGAACAAAACCAAAGTAGCTCTGTCAGAATATTAAACTGTTATTTGTATTCTCTTTGAATGCTGATTGAAACCAGTGATCTCTTCCCTGCCTGGTGGCTGGTACATGTGTAGTCACGAATGTGGCTTGTTCGGAGCTTCAGTGCTGTTGGAAGGGTGAGATCAAGGAAGTACCTCGGTGCTTGCCCTCTGTGCATTACCCTCTGCTTAGAGCTTAGTGTTACTTGAGGATTCCTGACCTGTTGAATTTACATGTATAGGAGGCCTTGTGTAGTGGAATTAATTGGCCTGGATTATTCAGTTTAGTTAATCGAGCTGCTTCAGTTTCAAGCTTGGCTGGAGGGGGAAAGCTGCTAGGTTTTTTGTGTGGTGTTGATAGCTAGCGAGACAAGAGCTTCAGATTCTTTGGGTTGGAAAGTGCTATGGAAATATAGTACATTATTGCCATATCCTTTGGGAAGTCTCTGTGAAGCCCAGCGAGTATCAATACTATGCATTAGTACAAAAGAGTATTAAATGTAAATAGAGCTAGTATCAGTTCTATTTTAGTATGAAAGGGCTAAACCAGAACACAAGGAAGTTGTTTAAGACTCGAAGCACCCCTGACTGGGAGCCTTGGGCTGCTGGGTACAGTGGCCCTGTTCACTGTGATGCCAGAAGTGACGTGGGCTATTTCTGTGCCAGACAGACAAGGAGCAGAGGATTGGTCTCAAGCAGAACCACAAAGCTGCAGATGCTGGAGGCTTGCTGAACATAAAAAATCAGAAAATTACTAGAGCTAGTTACTGGGAAAGGCACTGGATTGCTACGTGTTCTCTAATCATCTGTTTAGTAAAGAGCATGATTAGAGAGGCAGGCAGGGGCCATGAATTCTCATCTTAATGAAACCATAGGTATGTCCAGGTAAGCTTTTTGTGAGGGTCTTTCCTTGTCCACCTGATAAGGATTGTGTTTGCTTTGTCCATACAATAGAAGCTGTGTAGGGTCAGGAGCCAGGCTCTCCCCACTGTTTGAATGGGGTGGGTGGGCTTTTCATGCAGGTTGTGACACGCCTCCTAAAGCAAGCTGGTGCTGGCTACTCTTCAGGTGTGGGATCCTGTAGCTGTTGATTTGTTCTGGTGAGAAAAGTCTTGTTTGTTAGGAAAATCAGAGTACAAAAACAGCAGAGAAACAAGCAGGGCAGAGTGAGGATTCAAACATGCCCACAAATGAGGAGGAGGAAGCTACAGAAAACCCTCTGTGACGAAGCAGCCCTTTTCCCCAGTCACGAATGGGTAATGCCACCCCCAGATCATCTGCTCCTCCGGGTGGGATTTGCTAGTGTAGGGGTCTGAATCTGTCTCTGTAACTCAGAAAAATTAAATGCCTGGCACAAAGTAGGATGGGGGTGTCTAAGGACTCAAGATGCCAGTTTAGGTACATTTTTATCTAGACATGAGTTCAGCTGTTACAATTCTGAGCCACATTTGGATCCCCATCTCCAAGTCAAAATTCAGCCTACTTAAATAAAACTGTTGTTGATGGGTTTAATTTGGATTCTTCTGTTGTATTTGTCTGAAAAGAGAATTTGTGCGAAGTGTGCTGCTGAGATCAGAGTCCTCCCATGTAGATATCATTTGCAATCCCACACTGGCACGTGAGAGCAGAGCCTACCCCAAAGTCCATCTTCGTGGTTGCACCACAGCTCCTCAGACGTACAGGATCAATTGATGCAGAGACAGACCCTGCCCCAAAGTACTCAAGTTTTCTCTTTTCTGCCGGCCACCCTGAATGAAACTCAAAACCTTGAGTTTTAAGGGTGTCGTGGTTTAACCCCAGCTGGTAACTGAGCACCACGCAGATGCTCGCTCACCCCTCTCCACCCCCAGTGGGATGGGGAGAAGAATGGAAAAAAAACTCCTAGGTTGAGATAAAGACAGGTTAATAACATAACAAAGGAAGATGATGTTGATTATAATATTATTAATAATAATAGCAACAGTAATAGTACATAAAAAGTGATGTACAAATGCAATTGCTCACCACTTGCTGGAAAAAACCCCCGATGCCCAGTCTGTTTCCGAGCAGCGATCCCGCCTCCCAGCTAGCTTCCTCAGTTACATATATCTGGAGCATGATGCTATATGGTATGGGATATCCCTTTGGCCAGTCTGGGTCAGCTGTCCTGGCTGTGCTCTCCCAGCTTTTTGTGCACCTGGCAGGGCGTGGGAAGCTGAAAAGTCCTTGACTTGGTGTAAACACTACAACTACCTAGCAACAGCTAAAACAGTGTGTTATCAACATTATTCTCATACTAAATCCAAAACACAGCACTATACTGGCTGCTAGAAAGAGAATTAACTCTATCCCAGCTGAAACCAGGGCAAAGGGTAATAATGCTCCAGCTGTAGTTTTGAGCATCTGATCAGACAGTCATTTCCTTCCCCTGAGCTCTAACCACCACGTAAACTCTTTTTGTCTCCTCTTTTCTCCAGGTCAACAGACTATGGCACTACCTATGAAAAGCTAAATGACAAAGTAGGCCTGAAGACTGTGCTGAGCTACCTTTATGTCAGTCCCACTAACAAGAGGAAGGTAAGGGAAAGCCATTGAGCTGGTAGCTATAGAAACAAAATTACGGCATTCTGCTCATTCTGAGAGGAATCCTAAAGTGAAATTTGTTGATAATTCATAAGAGCTTGAATTTCCTGTCTAAGTTACACTAGTGCAATTCCATGGAATCCAGTAGAATTATGCCTGGTTTTGTGATAGAGATGGAGTCCTTAATCTCCTGTTTTCTGAATGTGTTAGGGAAATAAAAGGGTTGTTTTTATTTATTTCTGACTGTTAAACCTTTAAGGAAGCTGAACTCACACAAATGTTTCTGGGATTCTTGCTTACACTGGCTTTGGCTAATACACCTCTCCCTGCCTTCTCTGTCTCATTATTATTAGAAATACTGAGTAAAAGGCATTTATTTCTGCATTTGACTCTCCTCCTCTATGCTTTCCCTAGCTAGAAGTTGGAGGTAAAGATGTAAATGACATTTTCATTGGTTACATCATGTAAGGGGGCTGAAAACAGAATGCCTGGGAGAGTGGGTGGGAGACCTAAGATTTGATTTGAATGTGTAGGAGAGAAGATGAGGTCATAGCTTTCAAACCCCCTGCTCATGCTTCCCACGTGATGCAATTAGGGCTGCAGCTGGCTCACAGAGCGCAGCCCAGGAGTTACTACTCAGTCCCTTTTTGGTTTAAAATTATTGCCTGTGTTGATTCAAGGGAGGTAGTGGGACAAAGACGCTTTCAGCTACCCACAGAAGTCAATGTGGGAGGGCTGCAGCACGTAGCTAATTGCTGGCAGTGGAGCTGTGTTTGGATGGGGTGCAGCCTGTTCGGTTTGTTCACTTCCAAACTGCCCATCTCCTGTCTCCATCAATACGTTTCCAAGCTAGTATTTTGCTCTTTGCACTGTTCTTATTACTACTGTTGTGTTTTCCATCACTGGTCAGTCTACAGAGGTTTCAGGATTGATTTTTACTTCAGTGTATGCAACCTTAAGGCAGTCATAGCTTTGATTACAATTGGCTGCAGTATGTGTGTGTTTGGATGTATAGAGGAGAGGAAGAATGCAGTGGGCAGGGGTCCACTTATATTTTTTTCTGATGCAGAAACTAAATTATTCTAACAACTACCTTGACTTCTTTTTCCTGAGCAAAATGGAATGAAGATGTTTCTTAGTGAGCTCTCCTGGCCTTCACGCCCCTCTCATATCTAAGATGGTGGGCACTGAAGAGTTAATTCTTCATTCGGTTTCCAAAGCAACTCTGCCCACCTAAATGCAGAGGCAATATGCTCAGTTACAAATCCTACATCATTGGTGTAAAGTCTCCCTCACAAATTGGAGTACTAGGATATATGATTATCTTCTAGCAATTTCTTAAGCTATCAAGCTTTACAGATTAGCAGTCTTTTCTCTCCTTTTTATTAATAATACCTACATTTCATCACGTAGTGGCATGCAGACCTATCTTTACCTGTTTTCTTATTTCAGATGACAATTTTTTAAAATTTTTTTTTTTTTGGTCTTGTGTCTTAAGGAAATGATTTCTGGACCTATCTGTCTGTCTTCCCTCTTTTCCTCCCTTCTGAAAATTCTTTTGAAACGGAGAGATGAGCTGTAAGGAAAAGCTGTAGGAAACCAGCTTCAGTGCTGGCTGCTGTGGGACCAACTTGTTTTCATTTTTTCTACCTGTGCTAAATATATGGGCACTGTTACTGTGCATAGTTAAACAGCTGGTTTGTCTGAACCCAGAGCTGACTCTGTTGACTGTCAAAGCAATTCCAAACTTCCATGCAGCATCTGAAAAATGCCTGGATAAGGTGTCACTGGAGTGGAGCATCTGGGATTTGTTGAATTCAATATAAGGTTTATTGTCAACCCACCCCTCACAGATTCATGAGGTTATGCACTGCAAAAAATGCACTTGGTTTGTAATCTTCTCCAAATCTCTCTGGATGAATACTGTTACAGTGGCCTGCAGAGTAAGCATCATGTTTTTGCTGAGCTCCTGAGGACAACCACCAATAGTGAATCACAAAGCAGTAGGTGAGGTGAATCAGTTGCTTTCTTTACCCCAGTAAAGAAAGTCCAGATCCCTTGTGTTTCACCTCTAACGGCACAGATGCTGGCTCGTTGAACACAATGCAGTGATCTCTTGTGAACCCCAAAAATAGGTCTTTCTTTGAGGCAGTAGACAGGGTCGGAGACACCAAAAGTGACACGTACACAGGGCCAGTGCACACACAGTGAATTGTGCAGACCCTTTCCAGGCAAGATATTTTCTCCTCAGGCATTAGCTCCCAGGTAGCGATTGGACCCTGTGTGCCTCGCAGCTCCTGTTGAGTTTTGATGGGTTTGAACACTGTTGCTAGCCCTGTCTGCTCATTAGTGCTTAGAGGATTAGCAGTTACTTGGAGGAGGGGAAAAGCTTTCCATACATTCATTCCTAATTGATTTACTAGTGAGAAGGATAATTACCTCTCAGCTACCCTGCAGAACTTCAGTGGGAATTACCTGTCAAAATTCTTTGAAGACCCAAAATGCCTCTCTTCAGCTGTTAAATAGGAATTATGCATTCAGCCAAATGCCAGTTATATAAACATCATTTACCTGAATTGTGGCATAACCCTAGGCTCAATTATGAGGCAAGAGGATTTAAGTGCTGGCTTTTTTCATTCTTCTTTTAAAAGAAAAGCTTTTGGTTTTAATTTCTTTTTTGAAAATTTTTGGTGGGAATATTGTAAGTTTTTTGGCAGCTTCTGCTCTATTTCTCTGCTCAATGCTGTGCCAGGTCATGGTGAGACACTGATTTCTCAATACCCACATCTCTGCTTATTGCAATATGGGGGATCAGACAAGGCCGAAATCGAAATGCAGAGGCTGCGCAGCTGGGTGGGGCATGGCTACAACCCATGGTCTGGGAGCCTTTGTCATACCCCTTCTCTCTTGGTCCCACGAAAGCCACACCTGATGCATGCCTTACTCTTGTGAATTATGGCACTCCAACACCCTTTTCTTACAAAGGGGATTCCTTTCTGGAAGAAATATTGAGCTTAATGTAGGAATGATTGGGTAAAATTCTGGAATATGTGCTACAAGTGGAGGTCAGAATTGATGACCTAATGGCTCTTTAGGCTTTAAAATATTTAGTCCTCTCTGGGTTTTATTCTGCCCCCAACAAAGGAATTGGCTGGTTGGTCAATGTCCAAGCAGAGACCAGTGATGAGTGGTGTTCCTCAGGGGTCGGTATTGGGACCAGTGCTGTTTAACATCTTTGTAGACAACATGGACAGTGGGATCGAGCGCACCCTCAGCAAGTTTGCTGATGACACCAAGCTGTGTTGTGCAGTCAATAAGCTGGAGGGAAGGGATGCCATCCAGAGGGACCTTGACAGGCTTGAGAGGTGGGCCTGTGTGAACCTCATGAAGTTCTACAAGGCCAAGTGCAAGGTCCTCCGCACAGGTCAGGGCAATTCCAAGCACAAATACAGGCAGGGTGGAGAATGGATTGAGAGTAGCCCTGAGGAGAAGGACTTGGGGGTGTTGGTTGATGAAAAACTCAACATGACCTGGCAATGGGCACTTGCAGCCCAGAAACTGACTATATCCTGGGCCGCATCAAAAGAAGCATGACCACCAGGTCAAGGGAGGTGATTCTACCCCTCTGCTCGGCTCTTGTGAGACCCCACCTGGAGTACTGCATCCAGCTCTGGGGCCCCCAGCATAAGAAGGATATGGAGCTGTTGGAGTGAGTCCAGAGGAGGGCCACAAAGATGATCAGGGGGCTGGAGCACCTCTCCTGTGAGGACAGGCTGAGAGAGTTGGGGTTGTTCAGCCTGGAGAAGGCTCTGGGGAGATCTTATAGCAGCCTTCCAGTACCTAAAGGTACTTATAAGAAAGCTGGAGAGGGACTGCTTTACAAGGGCATGGAGTGATAGGACAAGGGGTACTGGCTTTAAACTGAAGGAGGGTAGATTTAGATTAGATGTTAGGAAGAAATTCGTCTCTATGAGGGTGGTGAAACACTGGAACAGATTGCCCAGAGAGGTTCTGGATGCCCCCTCTCTGGAAGTGTCCAAGGCCAAGCTGGATGGGGCTTTGGGCAACCTGGTCTAGTGGAGGGTGTCCTTGCCAATGGCAGGGGGATTGGAACTAGATGATCTTTAAGGTCCCTTCCAACCCAAACCGTTCTATGATTCCATGAAAGTTAGTCTGAGCATCTGCTATGTAACATTGATGGCAAAATCAAGTCCCCAGTTAGCTATATGTATTGTGGGCCTTCTTCTTTTAAAGCTCTAAACTATTGTTTCAGTTTGGGTTGTATATTTAGTCAATTTTATTAATTTCATATTCTTTTTAGGCTTTCTTCTAAGCTGGTCCCATGCGTGTCTCCCATCCCTAACTGGAGAGCCCCAGCAGAGTGTTGAATATTACCCTTGCCTGTATTTGGGTGTCCTGTCGAGTATTGAAATGTCTTTCCTGACACAGCAGACTGGAAAATGCTGGAGCAGCCTCGAAGCAGCTGGTCCCTTAGTCCTGCCCTTTGCTCCTCAATGAAACACATCAATCACTAGTGTTTATCAGTGGGTAAAATCACGGTGGAGAGATCATGTCTTTGTGCCTGAAGAGGCACATTTTACGGCTGTGTGTACAGCCTCCATTGCTGGGAGCTGAAACTACCAGACTTGTATCTGCTCTGTTTCTCCTTTCACTTGCACACTAGGGACTTGTATTTGGATCACGAAAATCTGCACTGAGTTCTCATTAATACTGTGAAATTCCAGGTGATCATTAGACCTAGCAGTTAGACAACTCTGAAGTCCTGGGGGCTATGGCTTTCTTGAGAGTTACTGTTTTGAGCCCTGATGAGAAGCCAAGTGCCTGCAGTTTTGACACTTCTACCACCATGAAGATGCTCTAATAAGCAGAGTGTATTCCAGGGCACATCTTCCCTTTCAGTGCACCTGCCCACCCGGTTGTTTGTCTGAGAGACCACATGAGGAGCATCTGCTTTGCCTGGTTGACATGTAGGT